AATTTCTTGAACTTTGACAATGTGATATATTGGGGAATCAGATTCTTGCACGTTCGCATTTTCTTTTAATTAATTTAGAGCTTGTTCACTCAACTGTTAATGGAAAATAAAACACAGAGCAAAGTTACTAACTTGGTGACAGAAAAAAAAACTTGCTCAAGAAAGGTTTTTTTTTTTTTTCATTATTAAAATTTTTTTTTATTTTTTACAAATTAAGACCGAATAATAAATTTTCCACGTGTAAAGAAAAAATCATTCATCTGAAACAAAACAAAAAAGGAAAAGTACTGAAACCTTTCCCTAGGGAACACAATTATGTGAGCATGTTATTAATGGATTGCTTTTCAAAAAGCTCCCAAATGCTTTCGTAAAGTTAAAGTCAATTGGAATCAAAACTTATCTTCAAGGACAATAATTTCCATCAACCTTATCTTCGGAGTATTTCATGTGTGACACATTAGGAAATCAGAAAATCTAAGGGACTATTGCCTGGCCCAGCCTCAAAGCTTCTTGTATGAGATAGAGAAGTTCATGGCCAGCCCCAAAGCTTTTAGGCATGTGAACTGTGAACTAATTTTGAGGCATGGCAAAACAATTACTCATGATCAGCTTAAATGAGAAAAATGAAAAGTCTAGCAGTAGGTACCAGCTGAGGAAGGCAATGATCGTAAAAATTGATGAAAGCTTGGCAGGGATTCCATGTGTTTTAGGGACCCAAAGTAACATATGTAATTTGGCTCACCAAAAAGAATTTTCCAACATATTATTTTGCCGTTTACAAATGTTAAAGTTCAAGCATTGAATCATGGCAATGCTTGAAGATCTGGCTACTTTTGTCTGATCTACCTTACAATGAAAGATAATTCGAGATGCCACCATTCTTTGTAGGTGATTCTTGTTTCCATGGGACACCTGCTACTATGTTTTACTCCAAAAAGTGTAGATATTCACAAATGCTGAAAAAGCTGAATTCAATTTAATTGAAAAGCAATACTACTCAAATATCTTTTCTTTCAATTACTTGGTAAACAAATTGAATTAAGTTCGTCAATTAAAGCCACTAAAAGGCTTTGGCTAGGTTGGTCTACTGCATTCTCTGGGCTAACTACCTACTGTGATCACCAGGTCTAGCAAGAGTATCCAAAGAATAATAATCTGCAACACTCTTCCGATTGGGGTTTGTACGGGAATCTGTAAGGGGAAAGCCGGCCAAATTATGATTCATTTGAGATGTAGGTGTCCGAGGGCGCTTACTTCCATTCTCCTCCGGTGGTTCAGGTGTGCGGATGGTAGCAGGGGATGTTATGGCAGGGGTTGCTGGGGCAGGGAAAAGTGGGGAAGAAACAGCGGAGGCACTGGTGGTGGCATCACATTTTTTCTCACTGTCTTGCTGTTGCGACTGTTTGGCATTTGATTCATCCGTCTGCACTCCAAGGGAATTGGATGGCAATTTAGAATTAATCTTGTACTCTGCAACGTATAACACAAAATTTAAGTTCCAGCAAATTGCTGCAAAGGAGGTTAATGAGGGAAAAACCTCGATACCAACTCAGATTAACAGTGTAGGGAAGGAAGACCTAGTTTTATACAACCGTAACAAACATTTAACAATATAAAGATGCAACTAATGTAATATCATAAGTTGTAATTACTAGAGAAAACCTGCTTGCCATGGAATTAACAAGGATTCCAGGGACAGTTTTTTCACTAAACACTTCAAAAAGATAAACCTCAATTTTATTTCCCCCCACTCTCCCCACAGGGAATAGCCATGATCTTTCATTACTTTCTGAAAATAAATAATAAGGAAATAAAAGGAGACTTTGCAACTCAAAATAGTGAATTATAACCAAAAAGCTTCGTAGCAGGTTCACTTCCAGTCTAGAAAAAGCAAATGTCCTTCCCACACCTTGAAGATAAAAATTTATAAACTCTAAAACTCTTTGCCTGATATAGTACAACAATCCAGAATTATCACAACAAACTAAAAAGTCTAACTACTAGCTTAAATTTTAAGAAAATTTGAATAAAAAATTACGGTCTATCAAACACGCTTGGACATAATTTTTTTACCCATTTAAATTTTGAACCAAAACTTGAATAAAAATTAAAACGATCCGACTCGAATAATATATATAATTAAATTGTTTTAATTATTTAAATATATATGCAAATTTTTATTTTAATATTTTATTTTATTTTTAAAAAAATATTTTATTTTTAATTTATTATGATATATATTGGACTTAAGGGAGGGCTTAAATATATTTTTTTTCATTTAGGTTTGGGCTTGAAAAAAATTTGAAGTTTGAAATATCTTATTGATCAAGTTTGGACAAATATATCTACTTTTAATGTCAAGTATCTTGACTCAATTTATAAATACCTTTAATTTAATATTTTAAAAAATTTTAAAAATATATTAAATAGAAAAAAATTAAAAACAAAAAAATAAAATTATTTGAACGTGACATAAATTAAAATCAAGTGAGTTAATAAAAAATCTAAAAAATAAATTATTAAATATATAAAAAATAGAAAATGAAAAAAGTTTAGAATTGAAAAAAAAAACATTTGCATATTATTGATATCACGTGGATTTAATAAAAATATAAAAAATTAATTAAATCTTAAAAAAAAAGATAAATTAGTATCAAATAAATCCAAAAAATTTAAAAAATATATTAAATATTAAAAAAAAATCTCCAATGAAAATTAAACAAAAAACAAAAAACTCAAACACAAAATATATTAAAACAGTGGATCTCACTGAAATAAAAATTTAAATACATAAAAAATTTAAAAAATTTTGAAAGGCAAACAGAAAAAAACCTCCAAAAAATTATGAATCCCACTTTAAATTTTTTAATATAAAACATAAAATATATATATAATAAAACTGAAAAAAAAGTAGATACCTCGAAATAGTGGATCCATTAAAAAATAAAAAATTTTAAAAAATAAAAATAAAAAAGGTGAGAAAAAAGAATCCTACTTTATAAAATATTTTATAATTAAATATAAAAAGTTAAAATTAAAAAAAAAAGTCTCACGGGAAAAAGGCTATGGCTCCACCGAATAAAAAAATTTTATAATAAAATATAAAATAATAATAAAAAGATAAACAAAATATACAGATGCAATTGAACAGTGCTATCAACAACTGCAATATTTATATATTTGACTGATATGATTCATTGAAATTATTGTTACAATTGCTGTCAACAACAGCAATAATCATTGAAATTATTGTCCTTGAAGACAAGTGCTGTCAGAAATAATTCATTGAAATTATTGTCCTTGAAGATAAGTGCTGTCAACAACTACAATATTTTTGATTGATATAGTTCACTGAAATTATTGTCCTTGAAGATAAGATTGTTTCCTTTAATAATTTTATGCAAGCATTTGGCAGCTTTTTGGAAAGCCAACGTTATTAATCTGCATTTTGCACCTTTTGTTTGGTGGAAGATAATGTTGGTTAAAAGAGGAAAAGCATTTTAGCCGGAAATATTTTGTTTAATAAAAGGTCATTTTTTGTTTATAAGCGGTATTGTGACTCAATTTTGTATTAACTTCTCTTTTCCGAGAAAACTTTCTATTATCTCTTAAATCAAGGAGGATGGTTCTCAATTATCAATGATACTTATGGGATTAGTACTTAATTTTAAAGTGATTAACTAGTAATGTATATGAAAATTAATCAATGCCTGAAATGTTAATGAATTTAAATTAAAATATATAGTAATTAAAAATTAATTATATCGAGTACTCACTTTTCAATCGAGGATCCGTGATATCCTTTATCTTATTTTATATACACAACGAAATATGATCATTTTATTAAAAGAGTATTTTATTTATAATTTTTTATTATAATTTTATAATTACTTAATTATAGCAAAACTATATAAAGATTTATTATTTATAAATATGAATTTTGGATAAAATTTTAATAAATTTTATATAATTTTAAATTATAAGTGTTTAATTATATTATAATTATTATAAATAATATATTCTCTCTACTAAGCTTTGCACCAATTCAAATATTCTTTCTCAATTAGCTTTTTTTTAAATTTCATATTATCACAAAAATAAAATATTATTAACTCAATTTACACCAGTTGTTAGTATAATTATTAATTTTTACGTTGTGTGAATAATTTTATATTTTAAATATTAATCTTTTATGTTGTCCTTTTTCTTAATCTTTTCAAATATTTTATTACAGAACTTTTTTATTTAAATACCAAAGGCTAAAACTTTTTCTCAAAAAAAAGGAAGGGTATATAAACTAATTAAAAGATTCTCTACCTACAAAAAAATTTTTTTCTTCCTATATTTAAAAAAGTTTTATTTATGTTCTCATGAATGAAAACACATACAATTTTCAGCAAAAAAAAAAATTATCAAGCAAGAAAAAGAAAAAAAGCGTTTAAATACAGAAATTAATTAAATTTATCAACACTATAGGTTGTATACTTTCATATATAAGAAAACCTCAAATTCAAAATTTCAATGAATATAGAGTTAAATAAATCAAGTTCTCAATGAAAATTAGAGTGTGCAAATAATTAACATGAAATATCTAATCATTGCAGAAAATATAATTTGTTTAATAAAAAGTAAATAGAAGTGAATTACTTTTTAATTTAATTATTTAAAATTAAATTAATCAAATTATATTATATTAATTTTATTAATTAAATTAAATTTATTAATATAAAAAATTTAACTTATCGAATTTAATTTGATTAATTTTTAAATTAATTAAATAATAAAATATATTTAAACAATTTTAAAATTTAAAATTTTTATATTTAAAATAAATTTTTAACTTATTGTATTGCACATGAAAGATAAGTAATTTAAAATTTTCATTATTAATTTACTTATTTCCTTACTAATACTAACAAAAATATAAAACCACTTCTATTCTATGCATCTTATATCTGGATGGAAAAGATAAAAGGTGAAATAATAATGACATGTGCGGCTGTGATGTAGCTGTCAATTGGAAACCATGAAAGCGCCGTCTGCATAACATCCTTTATATTATTAATGCGTTCTGCATTTTCCCTGCTCTTTTACATTGTCATCTTTAAATCTTCGTATTAGTTTGTGTGTTTAATTTTCACACTTGTTGGAGACCAGAATTTACAACTTTAATTTCCTTTTGGTTCTATGCTCGTTCAGTTGTTTCGTTTGGCATCAGCTTTCTCAAAGTTTTGATCAATGTTTTTTTTTTTTTTTCAGGTAAGCTTTGTATAAACTCACTTGAACTGTTTTAATATTTATTATTGCGTTCAAACTATTATTACTGTTGGATCTAAATATTGCTGTTGTTTTTGTTGTCTCTTTTGCCAGTGAGGCTCTGTTCTTAAGGATTTGCTTCCGTTGTTATTATTTTTGGTCATAACCACTGTTATTTGTAAGACTAGTAAGTGTAGAAATAAATATATATTTTAAATCTTTATGTATGTTCCTAAGTAGTATTAATTTGTTTCCAACTTTCTTGCTTTTCTGTTTCCACGCTTCTTCCAGATTATAATTTACAACTTTTCCCACTTGATTCTCAGCTTGTTCGGCATCATTTTTTTTTCAAAAGTTTGGCTTGTAAGAAACTCCCAGCTGATTTCTTTTGATACTTGAGGAGGAGGTACGGTTTTTAAACTCACTTCCATTGTTTTCATCTTTATTGTTATTCGTTATACTCCCTTATGAATTTTTTTTCTCTTGTTGTCACTGTTGTCTCTTTTGCCAGTGAGTGTTCTGTTGCTAAGGAGTTGCTTCATCCCCGGTTGTTTTATAGCTTGCTCTGCTTCACTAATTTTTTCCTTTTAAAAAGAGAAAAAAATGGAGGTTCTTATTTCTATTGTTGGCTCTCTTGCTACTAAAGCGGCCGAGTACACAGTTGATCCCATTGCACGACAAGTTAGTTACTTGTTCAAGCATGAGAGCAAGTTTCAAAACCTCAAGAATCAACTTCAAAAACTGAAAGATGCCCGAGAAATAGTGCAGCATTCGGTTGATGAGGCTAACAGGAACGCAGAACAGATTTTTCCTTGTGTTAATAGGTGGTTGACTACGGTCAATGAGAAGATCTCTGACCAGGCTGCAACACAATTGAAGGAGGATGAAGAGAAAGCCAAGAAGCGGTGTTTCGCTGAGTTATGTCCAAATTTCAAGTCTCGTTACCAGCTTAGCAAGAAAATGGAGAAGGAGGCCAACACCATTGCTCAACTCCTGAATCAAAAAGACGAATTTAATGGTAGAGTTTCCTACCGTCCTGCTCCAAAAGAAATAGCTACTAGACCTGTCAAAGACTACGAGGCCTTTGAGTCAAGAAGCGGTGTTTTAAATGGGGTGATGGAGGCATTGGAAGATGATAATTTCAACATAATTGGAGTGCACGGGATGGGTGGTGTGGGCAAGACCACACTTGTCAAAGAGGTTGCCAGACAAGCCAAGGAGAAGCAGTTGCTTGATGAAGTGGTCTTGGTTGCTGTAACACAAACTCTATCCACCGAATATTTTCTTCTTCAAAGGGAGATTGCCGAGAAGTTAGGCTTGAAACTTGATGAGACAAGCGTGGACGTAAGAGCAACTCGACTACGTGACAGATTACAGAACGCGAATAAGGTTCTTGTAATTTTGGATGATATTTGGGTGCCGCTGGACTTGGAGAAACTTGGAATTCCTTCTAGAGACGAACACAAGGGATGCAAGATCTTGATGACGTCCAGGAAGCTCAATGTCTTAGAAAGGATGGACTCTCAGAAAAATCTTCCGATTGATATATTGAAAGGAGATGAACCGTGGAAACTGTTTAAGAACATGGCTGGTGATATTGTTGAAAGATTGGACTTGCAATCTACGGCAATTAAGGTCTCCCAAAAATGTACCGGATTGCCAATCGCTATTGCAACGGTTGCGAAGGCTTTGAAGCACAAGGAGAACTTGTTTGAGTGGCAGCATGCTTTGGAGCAACTAAAAAGACCCACCGAAGTAAACGTCGGAGGGATACCAAGTGATGTTTATTCAGCTATAAAGTTGAGTTACAACTTTTTGGAAAATGAGGAAGTCAAGTTGACTTTCTTACTCTGCAGTATAATGGGTCATAATGCTGCCATCGAGGACTTGTTGAGATATTGCAAGGGCTTGGGTTTATTCCGTGGCCTTAACACAATAGAAAAAGTACGAAATAAAGTATTGACACTGGTTAGTGAGCTCAAACACTCTTCTTTGTTACTTGCTAGTTTTACCCCTGAGTACTTTGATATGCATGATGTTGTTTGTGATGTTGCAATATCAATTGCTTCAAGGGACCATCAGTGGCTTACTTTAAGAGAGGAAGATGTATTCGAAGAGTGGTCAGATAACGAAAGAGTGAGAAATTTCAATGCCATTATCTTACGGTATGCTAAGGTTAGTGAGCTTCCTGATGAGTTAGAATGTCCAAATCTTACCTTTTTCTCTCTGGGTGGTCAGGATTCTGTTTTGGAATTTCCTACTGACGATTCTTCTTTGAAAATTCCTAACAATTTTTTCAAGCAAATGCAGAGACTTAAAGTCTTAAATTTTGCTGAAATGCATTTTTCGTCCTTGCCTTCCTCAGTTGGTTCCTTAAAAACTCTTTGTACATTGTGTTTCTTAGGTTGTGTTTTAGAAGATATAGCCATCATTGGGGAGTTAAAAAATTTAGAAATCCTTGACCTCCGTAGATCTACTTTTGCAATGCTGCCGGAGAAAATAGGACAATTGACCAAGCTAAAATTGCTAGATTTGAGTGATTGTGAGGATCTTAAAATAATATCCCCAAATGTCTTAGCAGGTTTATCTAGATTAGAAGAACTATACCTATATAATAGCTTTGATAGATGGGAGGTTGAAGGACACGACAATTCAAGAAGCAATGCTAGCCTTGTTGAGTTGCAGCATTTGTCTCATCTGACCACTCTGGCAGTACATATTCCTAATGAGCAAGCTTTGCCAAAAGATGACTTGTTTTTTGAAAAGTTGAAAAGATACAAGATTTCCATTGGGGTTGAATGGACGTGGCGCGAATGCTTTGAGATGGAAACGTCAAGAATGTTGAAGCTCAAGATGAATGAAAGTATTCATTTGTATGAAGGGGTTAAAAAGTTGTTGAGCGAAACTGAAAATCTATGGCTAGATGATGTGAAGAATGTTATGGACGTGCTTTATGACCCAAATACTGAAGGTTTACCACATTTAAAGCATCTTTGTGTTCGGAATGTCTCAGCCATGAAGTTAATATCTTGTAAAGAATTTCCTCTTTTGGAGTCATTGTCTCTATGCAATTTGATCAATTTAGAGGCAATATGTTACGGTCAACTCAAAGCTGGATCTTTTGGACGACTAAGAGTCATAAAAGTTGAGAGGTGCAACGTGTTGAAGAATTTGTTCTCATTCTCCACAGCCAGAGAGCTCCGCCAACTTCAAGAAATTGAGGTATGTGAGTGCGAGAATCTGACCGAGTTAATTGCAGAAAAGAAAGAGGAAGAGATTGGTGCTAATGAAGAAATTGACATTTTAGAATTCAATCAATTACTTTGCCTAAAATTACAAGATCTGCCAAGTTTCATTCGCTTTTGGAATTACTCAGGAAAAAAGCTTTCCTCATCTCAACAAGGAAATGTTCAATCAAATGCCATATTGCTTTTTGATCAAAAGGTATTTATCTCAAACTTTTGTTTTTTAATATTTGCATTAAATTCTCACTTCGAACATATTTTCTTTTGATCTTATTTTTGTTATTTCTATTGAAAGGATTATTGTTTCCACTTCATGATTTGGCTTTAAAAAATTACGTAGAACTAGAGCATAAACATTAGCCGAAGGTTGTCATTAGTTTATATATATTTGCGGAATCATGATTTGAATTTCCTTCTTTTCTTTTATAAAAGTAAAATTTAAGCCACTAAAGTCTGTTGCACCTCTTTTGTCCTTTTAATTAAAAGTATTAATAATAAAAATTCAGGACAATTACAATTCTTTCATATATTACTACATAGATTTTAATGGCTTAAAAAATATTGTACGGACATTTAAATTAATTTAACAAATAACACGGCCCATGGTTAGATTGACTTGCGTGTGATATGACGAACTTAATAAGATTTACTTGAGTGTGATGTCATAAACTTAATAATTGATATTATATATATTACTGTATATAGATCTTAATAGCAAATTCTTTTTACAATTTAGGAGTCAACAGCTCGTACACAAAATTTAAATCGGCATACAGGAGTTGAGATTGGACAAATTGCTTACTTGCGCTAAACAATATCATATTATCTTTATAATTTTGATAACTTTTTTAGTTGATTATGATTTTTTTTTTACGCATTTTAAATCGATGGTTACATACGTTTATCATTCTCCTCATGCATTTACATCTATATTTTAAATATATATTTTTAAATTTGATATTTCATTTAATTACGTTTGTGTTGATCTTTTCTATTCTAAATAAATTAGATGTTCTTTTTATCATTCGGATTACACATTTACACTAACATGTGAAGAATGCCAATTAATTTACAATTTAAGCAGACAATTTACTTATTTACATTAAAATAATATTAAAATTAAGTTTATTCTTTTTCTGCGTTACGTTTTTAACTTTCGTAGTTTGTTTTGGTTGACTATGATAATTTTTATCCATTTTTTCAAATAGCATTTTTTACTTTTTTTCTCACGCATTTATTTTAATATATTAATTTGTTAAATTTTAAATTCCATTCTCTTACCTTCATATTGGTCTTATGTTTTTACAATAAATACTATTAGGCTTTTACATTTATGTTAACACTTGGAAAATATCAATTTAAATTTTACTATGCAAACTTACTTATTTATATTAAACTAATACTTTATTTATGCTTATTCATACTTTTCATTAGGTTTATTATTTTTATTACTTTATTTTTAAAGAGACTTATTGAACTTCAGTGCAAATATTTAAAAATTTCAGTGTAGGTTTCCTCATGCAAGATTACAATCGTTGCATGAAAGTCGTTTGAAACCAATAGGATTACAATAATCCAAACACGTAGAAATAGATATGGAGTGCCGATTAGTTTTTCCTACTTAAATTATACAGTATATATAAATTGCTAATTACATTATTATTAATTTTCTATTTTTTAATAATAATTAAGAAATTATTGATATTATTATATTAGGCATATATGCATAATTATTATTATATTACTTATTTTTATTATTATTCTCATATTTTTATATATATTTTAAAAGAAAGTAGAGTTGTATTAAAATAGTGGATAGTAATCGCATTTCTTAATTTGTGTGAATTTCATATAATTTTTTGAAATCAGTCACCGCTATTACATTTTTTATGAATTCATTTTAATTTTTGAATAATAATAATTAAGGGAACTATTAATAATATATCAAATATATATGTATGATTATCATTTGCAGGTTGTGTTCCCTGCCATAAAGGAGTTGGTATTCAGATCATTGAGTAGTATTGGAAAACTATGGGATGATCAATTTCCAGCTGCTGTAATGACTTTTCGTTTTCAAAATTTATCAACATTGATAGTGGGGAGCTGTCATAAATTGAAGTATGCATTTCCTTCTTCAATGGTTAAAACTTTGTGCAACTGAAAACACTTGTTGTAAGAAAGTGTGAGGATATGGAAGAGGTAATAGCAGTCAGTGCAGAAAAAGAAAGGAATAACATTATGGTGTTTCCTAAACTTGACTCCTTACAGCTCGCCGATCTTCCCAATCTCAAAAGATTTTGCGGTGGAATTAATCCAATTGAATTCTCCATTCTAAGGGAACTAAAGATATGGAAATGTCCTCTTCCTAGCACATTCTATTGTGATTCTAGTACAAGTGTTGGAAAGAACAGCAGCAGCATCTCAATGGATCACAACCTCCAAGTTGATGTATCACATTGTCTATTCAATGATAAGGTAATTTTTTATTTTTTATTTTTTGAACATCCTTCTGCATATAGTTCTCGATTAATTCCTCTATTTATAATTCTAACATTGAAATTAATTTTTCACTTAATTTCTAAGATTCAGTTGATTACCCATATATCTTTTAAATTCAACTCAAAATTACTCATGTATATATATTCAAAAGTAAATTAATTTAAGTACTTATCCTAATTTTAGTTGTTAGACATTTAGACTTTTGAATCAGGTATGGCAATTCCTTTATCGGACACTGACAAAGCATGGGCCATGCTATTATTTTACCGATCCTAATTTCTAAAGGATCCTTTTTATTGGAATTTAAAAAAAGTTTTAGTTTTTTTTTTTTTTTGCCAAATTTTATCTGTAGTTGATAAATTGGGAAATTTTCATAAGGAAGTTGATAGTTTTAAAATGTAATTATTTAATTAAATGTGTGTATAAATATATATAATAATAATATAAGAAAATATTACAAATTTAAACAATGTTTTGACATATAAATATTTATTGTGTGTATATAAATGACGTTAACAAATAAACTTATAAAAGAAATTTTGATATGAAATGTAAACTGGTTGCAAGACTAGTGAAGTAACAATGGCTAGAATATCTCTACTTATTTTTTTCACTAGTTTTTGTTATTTTCTTAATGTATTTTATAATTCTTCATTAATTAATTAATTCTCCCTCTAGTTTTTAGCTCAAAACATTATAAATTTTATTGTCTTCCAATTAATGGGGACATTCCAACATTTTAAAATTAGAACTTTACAATTAAAAGTCTTAATTATTTGAATATTGAAGAAAAATGAAATTTATGAGATAAAGGAAAAGTATTTCTTTGAAAAAAGAAAAAAGAAAACCTTAAATGTAGTGGCATTTACATGTATGAAAAATATTTAAAAATTTTTAGTTTCTCAACTTCTCTTTTACTAATATTTGTTGTCAGGTGTTTAAATATAAAATTTGAAGTACAAATAATTTAATTTTTGTAATATTAATTTATAAATTATTCAATACAATTAATTTTTGGTACAAAGATTGCGGTTATGAGATATAAAAAAATTATGTGTTAAAATTTAAATTTTAAATATAAAAAATGTTATTTTTAAAAAATAATTACATAACTCATTTAAAATAAAATTTGAAGTTTAATACAATTAAATTTAAATAATGCTATAAAACCCCAAAAGAGAGCTATACGATACTTTATGAAATAGGCATGAATAGTAAATTTTCCTTTTAAAAAAAAGATAAGTGATTACCCTTTGCAATCTTTATGATCATTCTCTCTTTTTTCTTTATTTTTTTTTTATAGTTCTAAGTTCTAACAACCAATAATAGGTTGCTTTACTAGAAAGAAATATCAATCTTAACATAAAAATAAAGAAAATTATATTGAGAACTAAAATATTCATTATTAAAAAAGCATAATTGAATTATATAACATTACAATATTTTTGGGCAATTTAACTATTAAACTATCCATTAAGACATTTTTGGCCATTAAGAACTAGCGGCGGTAACGCTGGCCACGGAGGAGTGGAAAAAAAGAAAAAAAATATAGATTGTTTTCAAATTTGAAACAAAAAATTTTCAAAATCCCTTTATCTCGACATTACAAAAATTATTAAAAATTTCTTTGCCTAATTAAAGAAAAAAAAACTAAGCATAACTCAAACTTATTACCAAAAAAATCAAATCAGAAATAAAAAAAAAAAACCATCACCAAACCTAAGCCACCTTTAACACTGTAAGAAACGCCAGAATAAAAAACCAACTCAACAAAAAATTACAAAAAATAAAAGCAAAAATTGCAGAAAACAAAAAAAAAAAGGATTTAATTAAGGTTTCAGTTTAAGCCATTTTGAAAGGGTTTGGGCGTTCAAAAGGATAGAAAGAAGAGGAAGAGAATGAAGACAGTTCGACAGGCTAAAAGGGTGGCAATGATAACTTAGAGTTCCATTTTTAGGGTTTCGTTATGAAGTTTTTTGAGGGGATTTTGAAGAAGGATGGAGAAAGTGATCTAAGATGGTTTCAGAGTTTAAAAAAGACAGAATGAGGGATTTCTGTAGAAAAAAACCGAGCTTTAGGATTGTAGATCTATGTTATTTTGGGTATTTTGGAAAAAATAACTACATAATTGGAAACAGAGAGCTAACAGGAGTGGATAGATTTTTTTGTTTTTTTGAGAAATTGACGTTAGAAATGGTATGCAATGGCGTAACAGAGGAATGGGCATCGAAACCTAGGTTTTGTGGCTATTTATTTTCTGACGATAGGAGAGAGGCGGTAAAAACTAGAGAGAGAATGGGAAGGAAGCGAATGAAGAAGTCAAACTATTGTTAAAAAATAAAAAGGTACATACTTTCGGTGATAATTAGTTGATAATATTATTTTAAGTAAAAGATGTTATATATGGCCCCATACGTGATTTTCTTGGTGATGGCTTGGTATAATCGCAAATTATCAAAGTGAATGGTAATTTTATGGACAATAACTTAATCATGTCATTGAAATAAAAGTAATAATTTTTATCAATTTAAAAAAATATAATTGATAATTTAATTATGATTTGTAAGGTAACAAGTGAAGTTAATATAATTTTAATTTTTAAATGTATAATTTTAATGTATTAAAAATTATGTTTTAATAAAATTTTTAATCTAGAAGTATGCAATTTGACGATTGTGAGTTAACTTGTTAGGTTGATCAAATTTGAAAATTTAAAAATTTAAAATTTTTTCTCCTTTACAAATAAATTATGTATTTTTTACAATTATAATTATGGAAATGAGGACTATGCCAAAAAATCATTTATTAACTATCTGTAATTTTTTACTAATAATTATACTCAAAATTCTTGTCAATTCATTTTATAGCTATTTTTATATAAGATAGCTTTAAAGCCTTTTAACTTTTATAGCTTTTATGATAATTTTTATATGTTTTTTTTTTATAATCTTTGTTTGCACAATCAATTAATTTCAAGTAACATACAGTATTAGTTTATTCAATCTTTAGAACTTATTTTTATAATGCACATTGATCTAAAAAACAGTAACCTATGTATACATATAAGTGTCATATAATTTTAGTGGCACTGAACATCCCTTTTAGTTATATATGTTAGCTCAAGTAACATTTAAGAATATATTAGGGTTAATTTTATTAGGGTTTCATTTTGAGCATAATTCAACGTAAGTTTATTAGTTAAAAATATAACTTATCTAAAACTTTCAATTTTGAGGACAAATAAGTTTTTCTTTTAGTCGTCCTTAGTTATTTATCAAAAACTTTATTTAAAGATTATTTTACTCTTGAAAATTAATATCTTTAAATACTCACATGAAGTTAATATTTTATAATAATAAATTATTTTTATTTTTCTCAATATATCAAAACTATTATGAATCAAAAAAGATTTTTTAGATGCAACATATTAAAACAAAACTTACATTTATAAGTATGTTAATATACAAATATATAAATCTAAATCAAAACATTTAGATTTGAGAGATAATTTTGTAATTACATAAATTCTATTAAAAGAGTAATTAAATATGAGATGTGTTGTCCATTTTTTAAATAAATAGACTTGTGTTGAATTATTTTAATAATTAATGACTTTAATATTAATAAGGAAATAAAAATTAGTTAGTATTTTTAATTTAATAATAATGATTAATTAAGGACAAGACATTGACATGTGGGAAGAAATTGTAAAAATTTCACAATTTCTTAACATTTCCTTTCCCTTGATTGGATTATGTTTTCCTTAGTTACTAATGT